ATCGTGTGGACGGGTAGGAACTCACAATCTCTTACATATTTTATTGTACAAAATCTAATTAAAAGCACGTCTCAACTGAAGAAGAAAAATATATCGTCATAATTTTCCAAACATGAAAATAGGAGGCAAGTTTTATGATTTAATTACTTCTGGACTTAAATATGAGCATTTTGAGATTATTATGAAAAATTTGATTTAAATGGAGTATTGGAAATCTGAGCTCATATATAATGATATGTTTGAATTTTTTATTAATTGCTAACGTGCACATAAAAGCTCACCAAAACTAATGTTTTAATTTCGTCCAATAAAACTCATGGTGTTGAACGAGGTAAGCACAAATTTTAGTTGAAAACAAAATGAGTAGAGAATGTAATAAAAGTACTCCTCACAAAGAAAATGAGCAATCCCTTTTAATTGCAATTTGGAGTTTTATATGTCACCTTTAGAGGCAGTCGTTAAGAAGGAACTTTCTATTATATAATTATTTATATAGGTAGATATTTGAAATTTTCAAAATGGATCGGGTCGATAGTCAAAGTCGAAAAAAAAGAAGCACATAGAATGCTTTTTTTTTTATTGTTTAAGAACGTAAATATTTGTTTCTTTCAGCTTGTCAAATATAGGTTGCTCCAGACAACCTCAACGTTCACCCATGTCAAACGGGTGGATCGGGTTGGGTCAGGTCGGGTCGGATAAAAAATAGTCCGGCCCAAATTGACTAATTTCAATATAATACGCATTTAGTGATTCATATCCAACTCGACCCATGCACAACACATACATGACCGAACCCATGCACAATACATACTCAATCCATATTACCAAAATACTTATATATTTAACTCAATTTAAGAAAATTCATATTCAAATTGAGGTGAGAGCACGAAGTGAGAGAATGCGAGATCAAGTGAGGGAGAAAAAGAGTCATAGAAGTGGATTGAGTCTAAGTAAGTTATAATAATACCCATATTAAACCCATTTATGACCCATAGAATTGGATCTAAACCCATCTATGATCAATTTATTATATATAATGAATGCATATAACAACCCAGCGCATCAAATATTGATTAATAAATGCGTCTATGATCCATTTTGACAAATATAATTTGCACCACGTTCATTGCCTTGCCAGATGAAAATATCATCTTTTAGTCATAATTTAGAACATAATGTGCAATTGTACCAATATAAGTATCTAATAATAATGTCTTCCCCACGAGTTGTCTCTAAGGTTGACACGTATGACTCCAACTTGCAAAATTGATCATTCTTCCGAGAATTCTTACACTCTACCCTACCTATTTATTACCCTTGTCCCTCTTCCTATCTTTTCTCTTCGTTATTTCTTCATTCTAATTTCAACTCTTTTATATTAAAGAAGCTTCCTACCAAGTATTGACATTATATTTATAATAATATACACGTAGGTATACTAAAATAAAAGTATATAAATTACGTATATAAATTACGTGTACTTGAGACATAGTAAGGACGAACGAAATATAAGAGGTCAAAATATCACATTAAATATTATGTTGCTCAAAATGATAAGGTCGTATTGATATTAGATTCTTATGCTTAAACTATGCCAATTGTGACATATTTACCTTAAACTTTTTTTTGTGATGCCAAAATTCTCAAACTTGTACATGTATGACACATTTACCCTCCATCGGAGAACCATTAAAAATTTGTTTACATATGGCGCCCACGAGACTTAAGTGAAATAAAAACGACGTTGTTTTAACTAAAAAATCATCTAACGAAATCTTGATGAAGAGTAAATGTATCACATAGATACAAATTTGGGGTTTTTTTTAAGTCGCAAGAGAAACTTTAGGGTAAGTATGTCATAGTAGGTATAGTTTGAGGTTTTTGATATCACAAAAAAATCATGGTTAATCTGTCACAGTGAGTATATTTCATGGGTTTTATGTGGCTTTTCCCTTTTAATTATAAATTTGTACATGCAATCCGCGCAAAGCACGAGTTCCATCAAACAAAGGTTATAACCACGCCATTTAGTAAATTCATTTACTATATTAATTATACAATCTTTAGCATCAATTCTAGATTTATTAAAAAAAAGTTATAACTTAGTGACTTGGCTTAACAGTCCAGCATAATAGTCACTCTTTTTTTTTGTCGTTAACTTCAATTTGAAGAAAAGCATGTTTTTTTTTTGTAATGTTTTTGCGCATACAATAATTATGCAGCAGTCCAAGTTTGAGTCTTATTAAAGCAACATATGTCGACAGCTTCCTTGCGTCTTTTGACTTGATTACGAGGCAATGCGCGGCGCAGACCATCATACAGTTTCTCATTGGAGTTGTGAGAACCAAAAGCTTGCCAAGGTCGTAAGCTTCCAAGCATTTTGCAGTCGAGTCCTGAATTATTTAATTATACTAACTATTTCGCCGGTTTTCATTTCGTCGAAAATCTTTCACCGAACGCTGCATTTCGGATTTTATTAGAGGAGACCAAGGTCTTGAGTCAGGCTTGGACAAAGAATGTCAAATACGTTTATTAATCCCAATAGATCTTATACCCTGACTCGATATGATACCAAACTCGACAATACTAACAATGAAACGACAACTTGCAAATGTTGAAGTTAAGCTATGTCGGAATCTAATCAACGACACAACTTCAAAGTACGCCAGAATTTAATCAATGACGTAGCTTGAGAGAATATGGCTGGAATCTAATCAATAACTATACTCTAAGCACAACGCCGGAATTTAATCAACGACGCTGAACTGGTGGCACAACATTGGAATTTAATCAACAATGCTGAACCTGATAAAGACCCTCGTCGGAATTGAATCTACGACAAAGAATCTGAAAGCTATGATTAAACTACTCCTAATGCGTTAAGGATAAAGACTAGATAAAAGATGTGTTGTGTTTGTTGAAGAAGGTCCTCTTTTCATTGGAAATCCTTGAGTATTTATAGAGCAGCTTGACAACTGTTGACCGCACTTCTCCTTGAAAGTTGTTTTCCACTTCCTTACGTTTCGCGTTTTAACCGCTTCCTGACTTATCGATGTTGCTTACGCCCCTTGGGCATCACGTAGTAGCTAATTTTCTTTCACGTGTCTCTTCATCTCGTCCTTGATCTTCACGCCCACGGTCATGTCTTTACCTTTTGACACGTGTAAATGAATTTTCCGCCACGTATTACCATGATTCCGTGCAAAGCTCGTGATCTTGGATTCGTCGACGTCACATGCGAAGCTCGTGATCTTGGATTCGTCGACATCACGTGCAAAGCTTGTGGTCTTGGATTCGTCGACGTCACATGCGAAGCTCGTGATCTTGGATTCGTCGACGTCACGTGCAAGGCTTGTGATTTTGAACTTGTTGATACCTCTATGACGTGTCTTGTCGACAATTACCTTAGCTCTTCTTAATGCCTCTGGGCCTGACTTGCGACCTTTTTGGATTTTCACTATGTGGGCCGCACTTTATATCTTTTGTAACTTGTAAACGGCCCACTCCCACCAGGGATAATTTTGGGTGTCAACATATGCCCCTTTTAAAAGGAATAAATTTGAATTTATTTCTTTTAAAGGTGTACATTGTCTGTGTACGAATCCCTAGGCGATGATCATGTTTTCTGTCCTTTGACGTCCTTTCGAGCAGTCCATACGAATTCTTCATCCAATACCCTTTGAACACATCACCTCGTATCTTGGGCTGATCAATCGGATATGAACGTGCCCACCGAGATATCCGTCACGTCAGTCAATCTTCTTGTACCGATTCGTGACGATTCCAGTCGCGGGCTATAAATAGTGGGCTTATTGCAATCAAGACTTCACCACTCGACTTTGAATTTCAACCTCTCATCTTCTAGAGAAAACCCCCTTTCCTTTACTATGCCGATCGTCGATGGAGTCTAGTGCCTCGTCATCAACCTCGAGTGCCCGTAAGTTCAAGGCTTTGTGGAAGGAGATTATCTCCTACCTGAGTCTAACTTACGCCGTCCTAGTTGTCAAGCCCCAGGCGGTGTCCAAGGTCGAGAAGCTGATCGCAAGGGGAGACCTGATGACCTACCTTCCGATCATCCTTTTCTTGCAGACTATGAAGAGTTTGTGACCGTCTTTGAGCATGGGGTGTCCCAGTTCCAAGACAATGAGAAGGCCATCCGTGCGTACTTCGTCATGGAGCATTTGTCCGAGAGTATCAAGGAGGAAAGTGAGCATGCTGATGTGGTGTACAACACACTTTATGACGTGCAGGGCCAACTCCACTTTTCCCGAGAGCATCTTAACAAATACCGGGAGTCAATTGTTGAGCGGATTCGGGGAGTAGAGAAGAAACTGAGGCGAAGAGTTCCTTGCCCCGAGAAGGATGAAATCGAGATGGACCTCTCGATGGATTCTCATTGTGAAACCTTTGTCAACTTCGCTTCCACATCCCTGGGTACAATGGCCGAGAGATCGGATGAATTTGTGGAGTCCCACCTCGAGCTTATCCAAAGGCTTAACAAACGGCTGTCGAACCTAGATGAGATGCTCCCCAAACTCGAAGAGGCCAAAGAGCAGGCTGAAGTGGTGAATCAGCGCCTAGAGGAGCGGATGCAGCACTTCGTGGCCCGTTTTAGAGAACACGTTGGCCTCGGCCTGGGGGAGTGAAGATGGCTAGCAGGTCTAGACTCGGAAGGAAGGAAAGAAGGAAGGAAGGAAGGAAGAAGAAGAAGAAGAAGAAAAAGAAGAAGAAGAAGAAGAAGGAGGAGGAGAAGAAGAAAAATAGGAACGAAGAGATTTTTTTTTTTATCTGTCGTCTGACTGTGAATGAAACTGGATTTGCTTAGAATTTTCAGTCTCTTCTTCCTCCATGTCTCTCACCTCCCACATAGTAAGGTAATACCTTTTCAAATATTTACCGTTGATAGTTTGGGGAAATTCCTTTCCGTTGATATGCATCAGTCGATAAGCATTTCCGACAAATGCTTCGGTTACCATAAATGGTCCTTCCCAAGTTGGTGATCATTTGCCAAACTTTTCACTGTCCAAAGTTGTTGGCAAAATGGTCTTCCATACTAAGTCGCCAATTTCGAACTGTTTATGCTTCACATGTTTATTATATGCTTTGGCAACTCTATCTTTCTGGAGGATTAGCTTTTTCAGGGCAATCGCTCTGTTTTCTCCCAATTCATCGACGTTGGCGAACATTAACTCGTCATATTCCTCCTTGGCCAAGTTATTTTGAAGTCTGACTCGTAGGGACTGAATCGTGACTTCGACAGGGAGAACTGCCTCTTGTCCATAGGTAAGCATATATGGGCTAGTTCCGGTAGCAGTCCTTTTAGATGTTCTATAAGCCCATAACACAGTCGACAACAACACATCCCACTCTCTGGGATTATCCTCCAGGTGTCGTTTAATTAGTGCGATGATGGCTTTGTTGGAGGCTTCAGCTTGGCCATTGGCTTGGGCATAATAAGGAGTTGAATGAATCATTTTAATACCTCTAGCCTTGGCGAAACTAATCACCTCTTGCCCAGTAAAAACCGTGCCTTGGTCCGTAGTTATAGATTCTAGAATGCCAAATCGATGGATAATACGCTCCTCGATGAACTCCTTCACTGTCTTTTGCGTTATATTCTTATACGAGGCCGCTTCAACCCACTTGGTAAAATAGTCGGTAGTAACCAGAATGAAGCTATGTTTTCTAGACGAAGGGGGGTAGATTTTTCCTATTATCTCCATAGCCCAACCTCTAAACGGCCAAGGTTTGATAATAGGTTTCATTACGGCTGCAGGAACATGTTGAATGGGACCGTACCTTTGACAAGCTTCACATCCCTTAGCATAACTTATGCAGTCTTGAGTAATAGTTGGCCAAAAGTAACCATGTCGACGGAGTAACCACTTCATTTTTATCCCTGACTGATGGGCCCCACATATGCCTTCGTGAACTTCGGCCATTGCTATCATAGATTCTTGTCGTCCTAAACATATGAGTAATAGCCCATCCACAGTCTTACGATACAACTCATCTCCAATCATTAAATAATTGAAAGCCTTTCTTTTGAAGTTTCTATCAGTAGAGACTGGGTTATTGAGATATTCTATAAATGGGGTTCTCCAATCTTGAGTTACCACTTTGTCGACAGTCATGTTGTCGACAAGATTTTCTAGTCGACTGTGTAAATATGACTCTATTGTCCATCGATGGTAAGACCTTGGTCTGAGTAATCATATGGCCAAGAAGCTCTTTTGATATTTTATAACCGGAAGCCATTTGTGCCAAATCATTGGCCTCCATGTTATGCTCTCTTTTAACATGGATCAATTCAAAGTCGTCAAAGTGATTTAAGAGCTCCTTGGCCAGTGAATAATAAGATATAATATTCTCATTAAGACACTGGTATTCCTCAGATAATTGCTTTATCACTAATTGAGAATCCCCTATAACTTTGACGAAACGTATTTTCATGTTGGCCAAGATGTTTAAGCCAACAACCAAGGCCTCATATTCGGCCTGATTATTGGAACATTCAAAATCCATTTTGAACATAAGTTTCATTTTCTATCCATGAGGGGATACTATCATGATTCCAGCCCCAGCAGACCCAGGGGTACTGGATCCATCGAAGTAAAGCTGCCATGGGACCACGTGAACGTATCCCTCACAACTTTCATCTCGTGCTCCAGGATATTCCGTAATGAAATCTGCTATGGCTTGTCCTTTTATTGCTTTAAGTGGTACATAGACCAGATTTATTTCGGTCAAAGCAAACGCCCACTTGGCAATTCGGCCTTTAACAATAGGTCGAGTCAACATGTACTTAATCACGTCTATTTTACATATCACATGTACCGTAGTCGGCAGCATATAATGACGTAATTTTGTACATGCATAAAACAATGACAAGCATAGCTTCTCAATCGCAGTGTATCTTGTTTCAGGATCGTTCAACATCCGACTCAAATAATACACCGCTTGCTCTTTGCCTTCACCATTCTCCTGCGCCAGCATACACCCGATGGTAGTGTCACTAACGGCCAGGTACAATTTCAATGGTTGACCCGCTTTAGGCGGCATCAATACTGGCGGATTAACCAAGTACCTCTTGACTTGGTCAAAAGCATGTTGATGTTTGTTTTCCCATACAAACTCTTCTTGACTTTTCAACTTCAATAATGGGGAAAACACCTCAATTTTTCCTGACAGGTTAGCAATGAATCGACGCAAAAAATTTATCTTTCCTAAAATCATCTGAAGTTACTTTTTGATTGTGGGAGGCGGCAATTCTAAGATGGCTTTAGCTTTATTCTTATCGATTTCAATTCCTCTCTGATTAACCAGGAACCCTAAGAAGTTACCAGCCCTTACTCCAAAAGCACATTTCAATGGGTTCATTTTTAGGTCGAATTTCTGCATCCTAATAAAAGCTTGTTTTAAATAGTTTAAATGACATACCTGATCTGATTTGACAATAATGTCATCGATGTAGACTTCCATGAATTCTCCGATCATGTCATGAAAAATAAAATTCATGGCCCTTTGATAAGTTGCCCCTGCATTCTTTAATCCAAATGGCATGACGAGCCATTCAAAAGTACCAATAGCCCCAGGACACCTGAATGCGGTTTTATGGACGTCCTCTTTAGCAATGAATATTTGATTGTAACCTGAATGACCATCCATTAACGACATAATTTCGTTCCCAGAAGTTGAATCAACTAGCATATCCGCCATTGGCATCTGGTACTCATCCTTGAGGGTGGCTGCGTTTAAGTCTCGGAAATCAATGCAGACACGTAGCTTCCCATTCTTTTTCTTTACCGGGACTATGTTAGACAACCACTCAACGTACCATGCCGTCCTAATAAAACCTGCTGCCAGCAATCGCTCGACTTCTTCTTTTACTTTAAGGATAACGTCTGGGGCGAATCGTCTGGGCGGTTGCTTATGAGGCCTGAACCCCTTTTTTATGGGTAGTCAGTGTTTGACGACATCTCTGCTTAATCCTGGCATTTCTTTATAATCCCAAGCAAAACAATCCTTATACTTCTTCAAGAGTCTTATCAGCTGAGCTTTGAAGTTGTCATCGACTAACGAACTTATGTAAATAGGACGGTGCTCATTACCTAACCCAAGGTTGACCTCTTGCAACGGGTCTTGAGCTTCAACTGATTTTTCACTTTCTTTTATGGGTGACTCCTCAAACTCAAGGATTCCATGGACAGCTTCTGTGGATTGTTCTGCGAGCTCGGCCTGATAGGCCGACCGAGTACCTCTCAATAAGGTCTTTTGACAATATAAGGTTCTCCATGGACAACCTCATTTAATTGTGCTGTCAGTTGACTCTTCGGGACCCACTCAACGATCCCTTTGTCAAAACGGCAGAATGCAATACTATTGGGGTCAACGAGAGGTGGCTTGCTGATGGATATACTGTCTTCCAGCGCCAATGCATGTATATAGGTTGTTTGTGACTTGGTATTTGCTTTGACGTATTCTACCTTATCTCCATTCCAAAATGCTAGCATCTGATGGAGAGTTGATGGTACGCATTGATTACCATGGATCCAGTCTCGGCCTAATAGCAAATTGTAAGATCCATCTGCATTAACCACACAGAAAGACGTCCTGGAAGTTTTGGTGCCAACAGTCAAGTCAGCAATGAAAATTCCTTTAACTTCGGAGACTTCTCCAGTAAAGTCGGACAATTGGATGTTCGACGGAATAATCTCCTCGTCACGCCTTCCCAGTTTCTTGTAGAAACGATATGGGATAAGATTTAGTGTAGATCCCCCGTCCACTAATACTCGAGACACCGGTCGGCCATTGACTTTTGCGTTTATATTCAGAGCCCTTAAATGGTTTGAACCCTTGGGTGGAGGTTTCTCGAATTCAACTACCTCTTCTATGTCAAAGTGAAATTCTGCTTTTTCTTTCTCTTCTATTGTAACTTCTATCGGATGATCTGGCTCTATCGTCATTACCCGAAGGTTTGATGGAAGGCATACTCGAACCATGCAAGAGCTTAACGATGAAATTGATCTTGACAATTGTTGTGGTTCGTACCGCGTAGATTCAATGTCTTGCTTTGGTGGAGATTGCTTAGGTCGACCAGATGTCGACGCTTGCATTTCTGGTTTCCGTTTCCAGACTAAATTTCCACGCTTAGGATTTTTCGGCTTGACCTTTTGCTCTGCAATCAAGACCGGTTTAACCTGCTTGATGCGAACTTGACTTACCTGTTGTTGGAGCTGATACTCCTTTCTTTTCCTCAGCATTCTCCTTTTTTGAGTCTGCGTCAGATTTGAACTACGATTTTGAGTTCGGCGGGCCTCATACCATTAACCTACAAGTGAGTGTCTTGACACTTTCAGAGTTTGTCGACGTGGTTGATGAGGGTTTGTGCAAAGATCCTCTTGATCAGGGAAGTTAGAACCCCATCCACTTGGCTCAATCTTCCCGTTGTACGAAGGTGGTGGAGCATAACTAACATAATAATCATATTTACTACTAGGCTCTCCCAAAGTACCGATAGTCGGATCACCTTCTTCATACCTTTGCTGGAATGACTTAATAGTCTTATTACGGTTTCAACGGTCTCTATGATGATTAATACCCCTAGGAGGAGTTTGTTCATCATATGAATCAGTGAGAACCAAATCGCGAAAACCGTCGACAACTTCACTAGGTGGACGTCTTCGACTATTGGAGTGATGTTTGTCTTGTTGCAATAATCGTCTACATTTTTTGCAAAAACGATACGACTGATGCCCCCTGGTCTTTGTCCTTAATGACACCATCCCTGCCATTACAAGAAAAGGATCGACATCAACTTCCATCGGGGACTTACCTTTGTCTTCAGAGAATTTTATCTTCCCTTGCCTAATAGCTTCCTGAACGTTTCTTTTAAACACAAGGCAGTCATTGGTGGCATGGCTCCATGAATGATGCCATTTACAGTACTTCTTTCCTGCTAATTCTTCTTTGGTAGGTATAACCTGACCCTCTGTGAGTCTGATCTGTCCATCGGCTAATAATAAGTCAAATATTTCCTCTGTCTTATTGATATCGAAAGAATAAAATATAGGTTCCTTAGTCTTTGACATGAGGTTGGATTTTTCTTTAACTCTTGCTGGCTTTAGAGCCGTGCAAACATATGGCTTATCAATCACCATCTTAGCGAGAGCCACATCTGCTATATCTGCTGACTTAGTTTCATCCTCGCTCTCGTCAGCGTCAGCCCAACGAACTTCACCCCGTCGATCATACCTTTTGTCTTTTTCCTGAAGGAGACTTTCATACTTAGTAGCTATGGTTGATAATTGGAACAGTTCTGAATATGGTTGCCGAACCATTCTTTCTCGGATTTCAAACTTCAGTCCATTAAAAGCGAGGTCCGCAAAAGTCTTTTCAGGTAAAGGAACCAAACCTTATTCCTTGCCCTTTTAAACTTGGAAACAAACTGATCGACAGATTCATTAGCTAACTGTCTCATAGTCGATAGATCTGCTACCGACAAATTTGGCACAGCTCTTTGAAATTGGCAATGGAATAACCTTTCCATTTGTTCCCATGATGTGACCGAATTTGCAGGTAAGGCAGTATACCATGTAAATGCGGTTTTTGACAAGGATAAGGGAAATAACCTCAACTTCCAATAATCAGCATGAGCCGCATCACCACATTGAGCCAGAAAACGATTAACATGTTCAAAAGTGGACTGATCTTCCTCTCCAGTGAACAATGTAAATTCTGGCATTTTAAAACCTCTTGGATACGGTATAGTGTCCATCCAATCAGGATATGGTTTTCTATAAACGTTTGGGAGATACCCCATATCATGGCCATATCTCCTCATTACAGGGTCCACCACTAACTGATTTTGCACATGACCTACGACAGGCGCAGGAGCTACAACATAATTAGGTTGCAATGGTTGATTCAAATTTTGATGAGGCAATTGGTAAAATGGCTGCTGTGGTAACTGTGACTGCTGTTGAGGTGGTGGCTGCATTAGCTGTAGTACATTGTGAGCAATCAGAGGTAGGTTAGCTGGTAGGTTTAACTGTGCTGGCAATGGTTGTTGGATTACATTTGGACCCATAGGGGGTGGAAAAGGTTGGTTTACGTTAGGCACCACAGGCTGGGGCGCCTGACGTTGTGGTTGAACGTTTATCTGTTGGATCTGTTCTTGCCCCCTAGGCAAGGGTGTTGCGAGATTCTGAACATCTAGGACTACAGGTGGAGGATTTGCCTGGATCACAGGGGGACCATGCACCTGAGTAACCTGATGTCATCTTTGGAGGTTTTCATCGATCATCGACTGTCGAGCAATTCCTCCATTTGGGTCCACGCTAGTATGAGGTAATCCCTCGCTGGGTGTTATTGGCAAAGTTTCTCCCCTTGGTAATATTCGAATGGGTGGGATCGGAGATGTACTTTGCATCATTGTTCCAAACTGTATTGCAGGACCCCCCGATACTGACGGAAGTCCTGTTCTCAGTTGGGTCAGTGTGATGGACCCTCCATGTTGACCTTGCGTGCATTCATGATAAGTGTTAATAATCAAAGGCCTAACCACTTCAGTCATACGCCTTATCACATAATCAGCGAACTCGTTCTGAGTTTCTTCGATAGTCCGCCTCATGGTAGAGAGTGCAACTGGTGTGAGCTCAGTTTGCCTTCTATCTTCAACACGCTGCCTCGACATATCTGTGACCTCCTCTCGAGATTGGTTAGCAACCTCGGTATGAAGAAGTTGAACGGATGATGTCTCAGCACGGGCATTATCTTCCGCTATCGATGCAGCTTGCTCGTCAGTAGTATTATCCGAGTTGGTTCTACTCCGGGTGCGTGGCATAGCACTCTTTCTACTTAACTCAATAGCGGTCCCACCGAGCGTGCCAAAAAGATGTTTCGCCGATTTTTATTCCGTCGAAAATCTTTCACCGAACGCTGCGTTTCGGATTTTATTAGAGGAGACCAGGGTCTTGAGTCAAGCTTGGACAAAGAATGTCAAATACGTTTATTAATCCCAATAGATCTTACACCCTGACTCGATATGATACCAAACTCGACAATACTAACAATGAAACGACAACTTGCAAATGTTGAAGTTAAGCTATGTCGGAATCTAATCAACGACACAACTTCAAAGTACGCCAGAATTTAATCAATGACGTAGCTTGAGAGAATATGGCTGGAATCTAATCAACAGCTATACTCTAAGCACAACGCCGGAATTTAATCAACGACGCTGAACTGGTGGCACAACATTGGAATTTAATCAACAATGCTGAACCTGATAAAGACCCTCGTCGGAATTGAATCTACGACAAAGAATCTGAAAGCTATGATTAAACTACTCCTAATGCGTTAAGGATAAAGACTAGATAAAAGATGTGTTGTGTTTGTTGAAGAAGGTCCTCTTTTCGTTGGAAATCCTTGAGTATTTATAGAGCAGCTTGACAACTGTCGACCGCACTTCTCCTTGAAAGTTGTTTTCCACTTCCTTACGTTTCGCGTTTTAACCGCTTCCTGACTTATCGATGTTGCTTACGCCCCTTGGGCATCACGTAGTAGCTAATTTTCTTCCACGTGTCTCTTCATCTCTTCCTTGATCTTCACGCCCACGGTCATGTCTTTACCTTTTGACACGTGTAAATGAATTTTCCGCCACGTATTACCATGATTCCATGCAAAGCTCGTGATCTTGGATTCGTCGACGTCACGTG